AATAGATAACTGGCAGCTCTTGAGGATCAGAGGGTTAAAGTATGTTTATGATATCACCCAGTGTTATAGTGTGGCTCTGTAACATTCACGTCACTTGTAAGAGAGAAAAACAGCATTGAAGGCTCGTAGCTGCAGATAAAAGCAGTTGTAATAACTTCTATTATGAAGGAAAACATGGATTTGTGAGAAAATCCACGTGTGCAACCTTCAATGCACCGTTTTTTTGTACATCCAGTATAGATTCCTCAGTGCATCTGAGCAGATCTTGACCTTCTGCACAATAAATATTGCACATTTTCTCTACACTGATTTTCTCTACGCACCATGTCTGCTCTCGCCTTGCATATTCAACATAAGTCTACTTCAATGTGTACAAGCAGATGCCAGCGTTTAGACGAACCTGTTCTGTATGAAAGGTTAATCGGGGCACTCGGTGGAGGAATTTCATTGCGCTGACAACTTGCTTATTGCTGCATACGTTCATAAAAAGCCTTTGAATCCTGTGAAAAGCGTTACAGACGTACAAACGGTGTCCGTGACTTCACATTTTTTGAATGTGTTTTGCACAATAATGACTGAAGCATCAGCAGCAAGAAAAAAAGTGAGAATTTCTTAGATCTAAAGAGAATTTTGCATCATATATTCAGATAATTTAGATATTTAGAGGCGAGAACATGTGGCAGCCCACACATATGCACAAATACATGGTTGTTTTCTAATTCAGCGTGACAGAAAACTGCATTATGTCACGTTTTCACATGAAGGAAAGCATAAATCAGTCTAAGCTGAGTGCATCTTCATTAATAATTTACATGAAAGTGTTTTTCTGATTAGTGAAGAACCGCTGCCGTACATCTTCCCCGGTGTTGCAGAGCCGACAGGAGGGCAGTTCGTGTTTGTTTAAGTATTTTTTGTGGGGGAGAGATTTGCCCTAAAACTGTAAATTTGTAGTGCAAAAGGCAGATCAGTGTCCACAGCAGTCGCTCCGTGAAGAAATACGAACTCGCTGATTACTCGCCGAGCGTCCCGCTGACGTGCCCTTGAACGTGACATTGGCACCGCCGGATGCCGTAAATCTCAGCGGAGGAAAAAAAACAACCTCGGAGGCTTTAAATCTAACGGAGACAAAGAGGATTTTGCCGGCGAAGGAAGGAGCCGCTTGTAATTCTGCGAGTCAGTTTTCGGGTTAAAAAAGTTTGTTCGGTCCACGTTTATTTGCATAACGATGACAGCTGCTTTTAATAAATAATTAATAATTGACGCAATCAAAGGCCCCGCGCAGGTGGAGGAGAGTTCACATGGCGCTAAAAAAAGACGAGCAGATAAAGGAGAGGACCGGATGAAGCGGAGCTGCAACAGAAATAGCTGCTTCGGTCCTTTTGTTAGTGACAAGTGAAAGATGAGAAGAAGTTTTAACAAAGTGAACTGTGTTTATGAGTCTTAAATCTCTCTTTTTTTTCTGTATTTTTATTATACTGCAAATAAGGCTAGGTAGTGCCAATTAAAATCAAAGATTTAAGTCTTGAAAAGATCAATGCTCTTCGGAAAACCAGTCAGAAAAAAAAGACCAAGTGTACCTAAGATTGAAATGTCATTATTATACTAGTATGTGTTAACTGGACTGTTAAAAAGATGCTCTGGTGTCGTGGTTCAAGTACAAATAAGCTGAGGAAAGTGGTTCGATTCTCGGTTAATCAGTCGGGCAAGTTTAACAAAGTAAGGCTTTCTTTGTGTAAACCGGCTTAACAAAACCTAAACTCTCAATCAGAGATGACAAGTTTCAGAATGATGGTCATCAGCAGGTTTTCTACACTGGACTCTGCACATTCATACGTTCAACTGGCTGGACTACTCTTGTGCCGCCTACTCAACAGGAATAGTTTGTTAAAATGGAGATCTATGACGAATATAAAGGTTGTTACTGCAAATAAAGCAGGACTGGAGTGCTGGTGGAAAATTGTTAGTTGTGTAAGTTAATGTACTCTCACCAGCTGGTAATGCAAATATCTGATCAGCCAATCACACAGCAGCAGCTCAGTGCATTTAGGGATGTAGATGTGCTCGAGTCGACCTGCTGAGGTTCAAACCGAGCATCAGAACGGGTAAAAAAAAGGTGATTTTAAGACGCTTTGAACACCAAATGGGTTGATTTGACTGATTCAGAAATTGACGAGCAACTGGGATTTTCATCACGTCTGGGGTTTACAGAAGACGGCCACGTGACGAAGCTCGAATCATCTCAAACGGGTTTCCTGAACATAGTGAGTTCGCTGTTCTCCAATGGCCTCCACAGTCACCAGACCTCAGTTCAACAGGAGATTCAGCTCATGGATGTGCAGATGACAAATCTGCAACAACTATCAACGTGGACCAAAAATCTCTGAGGAATGTTTCCGATACCTTGATGAATCACTCGGAACTAAGACAGATTTGACAGCAAAAGGGGGTCCAAGCTGGTTTAAGCAAGGTATACCTAATAAAGTTTCCGGTGTTTGTATTTACTGAATCTTTAAAATCCACATGACACTCAAGAAGCTTTTTAGGTCGGACGCTGGTCTCAAAATTCAGATTAATTTGACATAACTTTCGTTTTTTGCCAAATCAAAGTGAAGTTAACGTCAGTAATTCAATATTCTGTGATTAATACCAATAAACTGATTAATTGTCATATTGGTCTTCTAGCAGGACCAAACAGAAAAACAGATTTCTGCATCACCAACTGAATGCACGTTGGTTTATTTAGTAATGTGACACGTACAGTTCGTGCTACTTTTGCTGCAGGTACGCTCATTGAGACCATGGTCGGGAAAAGGATGAGCTAAAAGACGATGCTTCTTACAGCTGATTTGAATCTGAAAAACTGAGCTCAGGTCAGCTGTGCAGCATCAGTTACCATGGTGATGCAGCAGGTTATAAGAAAACCACCTTGTTGAGATTGAAAACTCTGGTTTTAGGCTCAAACATACCTGCTGACCCATTAAATCTGCTTCGTAGTACAGATCCGAGGCGTCTATTATCCGTCAAAGAAGAGATTCTCCAACAAAACCAAACCTCCAAATGACTTTTATCGGATACACAGTCTAGTTCATTCTTGTATGTAAAGAACTACACATCTACACCAATGAACCACTACACATGGGCATCTTTTTACAGTCCAGGTTAATATGTCAATACAGTAAAGACGTTTTAATCTGAGGAAAGTCTTGGTTTCGACTCAACTTATCGTCTTTTCTTGGCACCAAAGAGGAACAGAGTTAAGACGTCTATAGAGCAACGTATAGTCTTTTTTATAGACATTTACATCCAGTTAATCTCCACCCAGCAAATGTAGAATTTAAGGCCTAAAAATTCCATCATTACAGGTTTATTTTTTTACTGCAGGGCTGCTGGATGGTCGATGGCTCTAAATTGGTCCGTCCGATGCAAATGAAGGAGAACGGGCTAAAAGCTCACGTCGTGTTTTGGCTCTGAGGCTTCTTCAGCTCCCTGACTGTGACGATTTGACTCAGATGTCAAGTTTCTGGCTGAGCTCATCGGGCCTCGCCAGCAGACCGGCAAATGTCCGGTTGCGGCGCATCCCGAAGTGGCGGATGTGTAAAGAGGCCACGGCAGGTTTTCTGAAGGGGCCACGGGAATCATATCAGAACCAACCGACTAATAATGCTCGCTAGTTTAACCCCCTGAACACCTAAACCCTGTGTTGTCTTTACAAAAAAAAAGCCAAAATAACAGAAAGAATCATCAGATTTTCAACTTTCTGGCAGTCCTTGAAGTAATCATGTGTGAAGTGTGGTTCTGTTGGAAAATTAACAAAATCTTCGCCTAAAAATCGGGATATTTCCTCAAAATCTCTTTTATTGTAGATGTTTCATTCTATAACTTCCCCTCAATAAGCCATTTACTCCGGATTCTGCAAAACTTTTTAATATATACATTTATATATTTTTTTAATGTTTTATGGTGTTATATCTGTGTCATACCGTCCAAGACATAGTTCTGAGTTATATTGCATATTGCAGTGAAAAACAGTTTTGCAGTTGTGAATAAAGACAAACATAACTAAGGTAAAAGAGATTATAAAATCATAAATGACAACTTTTTACAGAAAGTCGGTGAATTAAGACAAATTCAGCCCCATTTAAATAGCTTACAATCAAATATAAAAGATGAATCAACACATCTGCAGTGAAAGTTCGCTTCAGTCGTCGGCAGACTGTGTCGTGTGATGAAGTTGTAATGATGTGTGGCCGACTTGTCCTCTGATATATATTCCTCTGAGGGCAGTTTAGATTTGGACTCGTCCTTTATATCATAACCAAAAGACGTTGCCAAATAAAAAAGACTTTCAAAAAACCTGAATGTATTCTTGTTTTTTGCCAGTGCAACGATGCAGCTGAACATTGCTTTCCGTTGACTTTCTAATAAAGTGTTGATATCGAATACACAAGCAACCCATGGCTTTCCTGTGGATTATACGGATATTTATATGGATTTTTCCATTCCAGTTCATGTCCAAAGGGGCTGTATGAATGTCAAATATGTGCATTGTAACACTCTTAACTGCCTCTACACCTCTACAAAACAATGTTTAGGCTCAATAAAAACAATCAATGCAACAGTTTGCATCAGGCTTTTTGAGTTATGATGACCTCTAATGAACTCATATTCAACCAACAAACTTTTTTTTTCTTCAATTAGCTGTATTTTTTAATTACTTTGTGGCATAAATACAAGTTTTTAGGCCAATTACTGTTAAAAATTAAGATGTTCCAGATAGTACTTCAACATGATTTAAAGGGATTTTTAGAAGTGAAAGAAAATTTAAGTTATGAAGCCAGTTTAATGAAGTTACCTCAACTTAAATCTACCCAGAAATTTGAGTTTCATCGACACACAATGTGAAAGTGATGCAAAATCACCAAATTTGATATATATATATATATATATATTTATCTTGCAACCATACATTTAATTTAAAGAAGTTCCTTGGATCACATCACCTGTTCTCCGGCGCGTTGGTCAGCGAGACGACTATGTTCTGGTCGATGAAGATGAGCAGCGCCAGCAGGAAGCCGAGGCCCATGGCGCTGACCACGTTCATGGCCGACAGCCGCTCAAACGGAGCCACGTTGAAGATGGGCCGGTCGTGAACTTTAAACACTGGAACTGTTCCAAGGGGAGAAAACAGAAAAGCACCAGGTTAAACTCAGATTTGACAAACGTAGCCTCCATATTTACAGACGTTCTGATGGTGATAGGAGCTAATTCTCTGATTCTTTCACATGTGGATGCGCCGCAAAGTTGAGGGGAAAAAATCTCCTGTTTTCACACCTGTGATCACTTTATGAGAAGGTCTGGATTCCTTTCACACTGCTGCATATCTTATTTAGCACCGTATCCTGTCAAACGCTGCTAAATGAAGTGCAGTTGGTTAAATTTAGGCAGAAATGACAATACAATAATGGCTCTATTATCCTGTGACTTATTGTCTCTGGAGGTAAAGGAACAGAAAATTGGCCGGGCACTTAAATTTTAATTCACTTGAGGGTTTGGCGCTCGTCTCTGCGTTTCTATGTCGAAACCCTGCAGAACAGCTGCTGCCTTGGCAACAATGAATGGAGACCCGAAATGATGCTCAACAATGGAGGATAAAAACTGAAAACCTCCAATGTGTTTTGGCCCGCGCCTTGATTAAGGGACATAAAAAGACAATAAAGGCAGCGAATAAGTGGAGCCTCGCGGTTTGAAAGCCAGTCCTGGAAGTAAACAGGTTGTAAGTTTGTGCCCTTCAGCTGCTTGTTGTTACAGTTAAGTTCCTTCATAAATTAATTTCCGATATAATTTGGTAAAAATGTGACATTTTGGCTCTTAAAACACTCTGCACATTTAGTGCCACGGGGCTAAATGAGTATTTGTGTTGTGTAAACAAAGTTTACAGTTCAGCTGGAAAGTCTCTGAATTCTTGTTATTTAACTGTTGGTCTCACCTGAGCTGTTTATGTCTTCACAGATGCACGATGGAACATTTAAATTTTTGTTTTTTATTGAATCTGTTTGGTGAAAACTGTATATTTTTGGCAATTTTTTAAAAAGGAGATGGAGAATAATGCGATTTAGATAAAATATCTCTATTTTAGGCTTGAATTTGGTTAAGTTGGTCAAAAGAAATTCATAATGTGGTGTCTTTTTTTTTTCACAGTTTCTAGCTGTGACTACAGGTGTAATCGTGCCGATTTATGAGGAGTTTAGGGGTTCAGAGGGTTAAAACGCAACAGTAATGACAACAATGACCCTATCCATGATCCTGAAGTGCCCTTCTTCTTCTTCTCCATGATGTGTTTGGAGCGTTTCACACAGATGGTGGTAACAGGTGCTGCAGCAATGTATAATATGAGAAAATAATGTGGTTAACATTAAAGAATGTAAATCTATTCTAGTGGACCCCAAACTAAAATTATAGATTTGTCAATGAGCATATTATTGGCTCTTCAGGATCCTGTAGACAGCCATTGTTGTCAGTTTTACAGAAAATGGCAACTATTTTCTTTTCTTTTTTTTTTAAAAATACTGTTGTGTTTTAACCCTCTGAATCCCCCAAAACCGCCCCAAAAAACCTTTAATCAGAGTGAGGAACTGTAAAAACTGACAAAATATGACATTCCTGACAGTCCTTGACATATGTGGTGTTCTGTTTAGTTAAAAAACAAATCCAAGCTTAAAATAGTAAAATTGTATGAAAATCGCACTATTCTACACGTCTCTCTCTCTCTCTCTCTCTCTCTCTCTCTTTTTTAAATAATCAGAAATAAACAGTTCAATTAAATCAGATTCTGTGAAAAAGAAAAAATTCTGTGCTCCTTGATGCAACCGGAGAGGTTTTATCAACTCAGCTGAGACCAATAGTTATTTGGCAAAAATTCAGGGACTTTTTAGCTGAACTGCAGGTAGTTGCGAAACAAGTATGGAAACAAAATAAACATATAAGTAGTAACATAGCTAAAGTATGGTGAGCCACCATTTTATTTTTGTACTATCTTCTGATACTTGTGAAAATTTTAAAATAAATAATCAAAGAAATTCAACTTTCATTTAATTCAATAAAAGAATGATCATACTGCGCAGAATTCCCATTTGAATTCCAACTAAAAATCGGCATAAAATAAACTGTTTACATCTGTTTCTCTAAAAAAAAAAAGAAAAAAGAAATGTTTTTACATGTTGTGAAAATGTAAATATGTAAATTTTTACAGTGTGTGGGGTCATCACACGTGGGCACCTGAAAAAAATGTAGTACATGTCGATTTTAGGGACTCTTTTTGATTTTTTTTTTTTCAATTTTTGTAAACTAAAAAGGCAAAGAAAGTCAATTTTTGTTATCCTATATATTTAGAGAATTATAAATGTCTTTTTGTGTTTGCTCTACTTCTAGTCATGGTTGTGCTGTTTCCATAGAGGTGCAGGACTTTATGTTGCAGAGAAAAATGACCCCACAGTGAGTAAAAATGTGACAAAAAAAAACCTCCCAGAAATTTCTTGGGCTTCAGAAGGTGAATGAGCAGTTGCACCGCTAACACTGTAAAAATAGTATAAACATGAGCAACACGTGGCCACATTGGTTGCACGCTGTTGCCAGACTGTGTAATGTTATTTAGAAAACTCCACTGGCCACCGGTGCAGCAGCAACAAATGATACTAACGCTCGATGTCGCTGAAAAGGTAGGAGCCGATGAAGGAGAAGAGGAGCACGGAGATCGGCAGGGCGCAGTCCGACAGCACCTCCCTCACTTTGGCGTGCAGGAAAGGGCTGAAAACGAGAGAGAGAGAGGAGGCAAATAATAGAGGAATACAATTACTGTGGACAGGACAAGGACAATGGCTGCAATCCTGACACTGCTTAAGTACCTCGGTCTGCCTTTTGCTTACACAATTGAATCCAGCTTTGAGGCTGATTTGATTACTGGGAGCAATCAGAAGTAGAATATTAATGCTTATTAAATCACCGGCTGGAACACGAGGCTGTGACAGAAAAGTGAGCTTCCTAAGAGCCGTCTGGAAAGTTTCCGCGAGCTTCCTGACAATCTTTAGGCCCCGGCTCAGCAGTGTTCAGGTCATCTAGAGCGCCATTAAAAACTTCTCGGGTGATTTATCTGGAGAGTGCTGCAGCGCTGCGGTGCCGCTCGTACCTCCTTTTGAACTGGTACAGGGTGTAGCCCATCCACAGCGTGCCGAGCATCAGCAGGAGGCAGAGGACGGGCCTCTCCCGGGTGCACTGGATGAAGGATTCGGGGAGGACGTTGAGGGCCAACCCCGCCGCCGCCTCGCTCCTGTTTCCTCCCAGCAGCTCTCCGCCCGGAGGGAAGTCCTCCATGCTTCTGTTAGCCAGCGTTGGAGCGTGGTAGTACCTGTGGAAGACTGAAAGGGCAAGAAATGTTCCACTGAATATACACCTTTATGGATGGGGGGGAAGAAAATGTGTTCTTATCATCACCAAAACCCATGTGAGAGCTAAAGCCGATAATGAACTGATGGTGTGCAGAGATTTGTTTGTGTATGATGGGATGTTAATGCTGAAATCCCAGGAAGTAGGAAAAGTGGTGGACTTTAGACAGCGGTGCTACCCCTCAAAAACAAAAAAATATGTATTTTTAGAGTAGTAGAGATAGTTTTGGTTTTAAAAATCTGCTCTCCATCTGCTATCCTGCTATCCCCAATCCCCATCATCCCCACTCTTGCCCCAACCGGTGGAGGCAGCTGGTGGCCTTCTCTGAGCCTGGTTGGGTCTTTTTGATTCCTTCCCATCGTTGACAACCGCTTAAGATTGTTGGGTTCTCCGTTCAATATTTATCAGCTGTGTACCTTACTATGTTAAGCGCTGTGAGATGACATATGTTGTGAATTCATGCTATATAAATAAAATTGAATTGAATTGAAGACACGCAAAAATAAAAAATAAAAATAAAAAAACCTCCAGTAGAAGTCCAGTTTTTCTTATATTGATGTCATTTTTTCGGGTAGCACCCTCAATCAATAATCAACAATAAACAACCAAATTTTAACTGGTTTAAACAACAGCTGTTTTGTTACTTACCAGCTCCCCCAAGCAACCTAGTATTAAGTACTGTATGTGAAACTGAAGTCTGATATAGTGTTATACTTTCTGCATCTGAGGATCCACAGGGTGCAGCCAAAACATGTTTTGTTAGCACGTGGACAATGCTACGCGGCAGTAGCATGCACGCACAGGACACATGATGTGCTGCTATGGAGTCCACCAAGCAGACTAGGAAGTAATATAAGAACACTGGTTTAAACCCAATCTCCAAACTAAGCCTTGAGCACGAAACCTTTACATATTTAAAGGTCCCACATGATGAAAATCCATATTTATGTGTTGAGAAGTCAAAAACTCAAACGTGTACAAGCTGTTAAGGTATGAAAACGTTCACATTCACTATTCCTCAAGGTCCTACACAACTAGATAGCCACCCAGCTTCACAAGCTAGCAGTTTAAATGATAATGCGCAGCTTCGACCAGGTTTATTTACTTTCTAGCGCTGCTTCTGCTAACTCTAAAATATCCCAGTCACAAGCAAAGTTTACGAAATATTCTGCTGTTGGCTGCAAGAGTGAACACGAAAGTCTTCATGCACCACCAGCATCTGAGTAACTGAAGATCCAGTGAGTTGCATTAGCGTGTTGTACAGCTAACGTGGCTAACCCCACTGTTACCTTCGATTGTATGCTCAAAGGTCAGAACCTTTGTGCTTCAGTGCAAACTAAACTCAGACAGTGTTACAGCCGAACTCCCAATAAAACTATAGACATAATTTTCTAAAATCTTGACTGAAACGCAACTCATAAAAACTATATGTCATTTCTAACCTGCTGCTATGAACTGCTAAACTACAGATGCTATACTTGTGATGTTGTTTGACAAACTCACCAATTAAAAACCAATTGAATTTGGTGATATTTCCATGTAAGAGTCGTGGCACAGAGAGGAAGAAGTGACAGAAAGTCCTGGAATCACACTCAAACAGTCCATTTAGAGCAGGGCTAAAACCTGGGGTTGTGCAGTCATGGTGAATTAGCAATTTGTAGTATTTTGAGATGAAAAATTTAAGTCACATTCTGAAGAAATGTGAGACACTAATTGGATAATAAAGGGTCACAATATTGGGCCTTTAATTGAAATCACCTGGTCAGTGATTGAATGCAAGAGGCTGCTGATATAAATAGAAATCAAACAGCATTTTGCAGCATATCATGTAAATTCTACAGCATGTTTCCTTCTATTTAGGCTTTGGGATATTTTATTTCCCATTTTTCAAGTTTTCCTTCACAGTCGAGGTGCTTTGAGGGGAAGACTGTTTTAAATTCATCTTCATGTCATCGCAGGACAAACAACTGCACACTGTTGTGGCTGTGAATCACCAGTGAGCCATGTGTTTATACTTGCATGCAAACTTCTTTTTTTTTTTTCTCGCAACGTTGGGTTCAGTGACCCCTTTCCATGCTTGTTTATTTACCTTTTTCTTTTTTTTTTTTTTCAATGCTTCTGGGCTTCCCCCGGCAACCCTGTGTTTAATGTCACGGCGCTATGAACGGTGGGTAATTCCCTCGGGCAAAAATCTGCAGAAATGTGGACTTACAGGAAGTGGGCATCAGGGGCTGGAAACGTCTGTGAGAGAATCGTCATGCACTTTGACGGTATGACAGTGGGACAGCCCTGAGCTCCTTCACATTTAGCAGAAACAACGCTCAAAATCTGTGATTGTGGACATTGGGATTGGGCCAACAACTACGCATCCGTGGTATCCACAGCTATCCATCTACAAGAGAGTGTATTCAAGGCTTTACTACCTTCATTGACCCCCAAAACCACATGTCTGTGACCTCTTTTCTTTAAAATGTACCTCTTCTGTCGCTTTAAGCTTTAAGATATGGATTCTAAATGAAAAAAGAACAACAAGACAGCAACTACGTCGACCAACATATAACATTGTTTTGGCCTTTTTGGACATGTTCATGCTGCAACCACCACAAAGATTTAGGTTAAATCAGAAATACATGGGCGACAAGAACTGTAAATTCTGCAGAGAGGGAGACAACTCTAAAAGCGAGGTAAATCTTAGCAGAGGTAAAGCTGCCCGCAGAATCCAAATCAACTGGACTGTAAAATCAAGGTACACAGCGCAATTCTTCTTCTGCTTTTGGAGGCACGTGATGCCGGCAGTAAATAGCAAAATAACTCAATAATAATTTAATAGAATCTGACTGAAAAGGACGGGCTGGATGTGGATGAGCGGTCAGATGATGAGAAACGCCACACGCTGCACGGTTGTATCTCTGAGCTCTCAACACCAGCAGCAGCACACTGTTGACTGAAATCAGTCTTAATACACGTATAAGAACTACAGTAAGAACGACTGTAATACAGTACCGATGGAAAATATTCACCCCTGTTGGAAGTTTTCCCCTTTTATTGGTTTTCAACATTGGATCATGATCAATTTATTTTGGTTTTGTTGAAGAACTGAGTCTTTCTTGTCAAAGTGAAAACAGATTTCTACATAGTAATGTTATTTAATAAAAAATGTAAAACAGAAAATAAGTAATTCACCTCCTTCAAGTCAGTATTTAGTAAATTGTTCTCCAGAATTTCTCTATATTGCACTCAAATAATTTTACCCTCTCCCTTTACAAGTCTTCCAGGGTGTGCTGCTGAGAAGCATCCCTACATCATGATGCTGCCACCACCGTGCTTCACATCATGATGCTGCCACCAC